CCCTTCCCACACCGCCCCCCCCCCCATCGCCTAATTACCGCCGGGGCCGCGGCGCGCTAACGCGGTCCAGACGCCCGTAGCAGCAGCAGCAGCAGCGAGTCGCGAATTCCTTGCTTTGGGGGGAGGGAGGTAGGGAAGGGAGGGAGGGAGAGAGGTAGGGAGGGAAGAAGGGGAGGGGGGGGGGGTTGGAGGGGAGGGAGGGGAGGTAGGGATGGAGGGGAGGTAGGGAGGTAGGGAGGTAGGGGAGGTAGGGGAGGGGAGGAGGTAGGGTGGGAGGTAGGGATGCAGGGGAGGTAGGGAGGGAGGTAGGGTAGGGGAGGTAGGGAGGTAGGGAGGTAGGGGAGAGGAGGAGGTAGGAGGGAGGTAGGGAGGGGAGGGGAGGAGGGAGGTAGGGAGGGTAGGGAGGTAGGGGAGGTAGGGAGGGAGGTAGGGAGGGAGGTAGGGAGGGGAGGGGAGGAGGTAGGGAGGGAGGTAGGGATGTAGGGAGGTAGGGGAGGTAGGGAGGGAGGGAGGTAGGGAGGGAGGTAGGGAGGGGAGGGGAGGAGGTAGGGAGGGAGGTAGGGAGGTAGGGAGGTAGGGAGGGAGGTAGGGAGGGCGGTAGGGAGGGAGGGATGGTAGGGAGGGAGGGGAGGGAGAGAGGTAGGGATGGAAGGAGGGTAGGGAGGGTTGGAGGGAGGTAGGGATGGGGGTAGGAGAGGGAGGTAGGAAGGGAGGGAGGGAGGGGAGGGGGTAGGGGAGGGTTGCAGGGAGGTAGGGAGGGATGGGGGTAGGAGAGGGAGGTAGGGGAGGGTTGGAGGGTTGGAGGGAGGTAGGAAGGGAGGCAGGCGATGTTAGCCCCCATGGGTTGTGCCCAGCCGGCCCACTGGCGTGTTTGCTTCCCCTACCCGATTTGACCCGGTGCTGGGCCTCCCCTAGGTCGACTCGGCCTCAAAATAACTACTCGACCTGGTGCGGTGCGCAGTAAACACGCCCTCGCAGGTGCTGCTCGCTAACAGCACTTGCCCCCGAAAAAAAAGTCTGTCGAGGCTATACGGGTGATCTTTGTCTTTGTTCAGCCAGCTTCCACCCCATCCCCCGCCCTCACCCCAAACATATTTCGTAGATATGGCTAAGAGATCATACAAGCGCGCTCACTCTCGCGTCTACGCGTAATGCACAGCTCGTGAATGGGGTTGGGCAAACATCGAATCCCCAATGCAGGGACGGCAGAACTCGGGCAATTGTTCGTAGAGCGCCAGTTCTGGCCGCACTTGCCAAGCGCGTGTCCGTGGTGCCAACTCTCGCCCTCTGTGCGAAAGCCCAGCGCGTGACTAACCCTAAGAGAATAGATCACGACGTTTCGATCGTAACGCAAGCAACCGTCATCAGGTGACACAAACACAGCAGGCCAACTGCTACGTCAGCAGTTACGTCAGCAGTTAGCCTGCTGTATGACGGTTGCTTGCGTTGCGATCGAAACGTCGTGATCTATGAATTTTCTAGCCACGGGACTTTATCGAAAGAAACAGAGTATGGATTCCTGCAGTCACGAAAGCTCCAAATCAAGATTAACCCTACGAGATTGTTTTGAGATGCGATTTGTATACATTATGCAAAACGGTGAACAACTTTATATATAAAAAAAAACTTCATTAAACTGTTAGAATTGTAGATATGGCTAAGATTCACCCCCACACAATATTTAGCGACATCGATCCTGGTACAATACCGTTTTGCTGCCTTCAACAAGATTACAAGATGTTTACTACCTCGCCTGGTATACAGGATGTTCGTGGGTTCGATCCCGACCCTGAAGCCTTCTGTATATTTGGAGTTTGCGTGTCTCTCTCTCTCAGTGGTCGCATGGATTTTCTCTGGGTCCTTTGGGTTTTCCCCTCCACATTTAGAATCAACATCACGCCTTCAGAGCTGCTATGAAATGTCCATATCATGATACGCTACTTCGTTTAGCTATCATCTGTGGCCAGGTCGCTTCTAAAAAAACAAGGGCTGTACCAGTAGCTCCTCTACTTCCGAACATTCCACACTTACGAACTTCCAGAGATACGACGAACCTGTCCGTATGTCCAGTTGCCCGTTTGGACCGAGAGGTCATAAGTTCAACCACCGCGCAATAGGCGACAGTGGTATCATCTACATCTGCAGAACACGCAGAGCCACACTCAACGAATGCGTTGAGTGTGTGTTTTTTGATAATTGTTTTTTTACCCTTTTATCTGGCAATAAAATTGACACCTTTTTTACCAGGAGTCATGTTTGCATAGACCATAATACCTGCAGTCATAATGCAAACAAAAAACACAACTCTGATAATGTATGCACTGTCATTGAAGTTGATTGGTTCACACCCGAGACAGCTTTCCTTAGAGCCTAGTCTCACATGGTGTTGAACCAGATGACGCCAAAAGGCTCTAAGGAAAGCTGTCTCAGGTGTGGACCAATGAACTTCAAGGACAGTGCATACATTATCAGAGTTGTGTTTTTTGTTTGCATTATGACTGCAGGTATTGTGGTCTATGCAAACATGACTCCTCGTAAAAAAAGGTGTCAGTTTTGTTGCCAGATAAAAGGGTAAAAAACAATTATCATAATTTTTTACTGGCAAATGAGGTTCCAATGGTGTGTTTTTTGTTTGTCGTTTGTGCCTCTGTGTGTCTTGCTGCCAATGCAAGCGGCACTATCACAAGCATCGATCGTTAACGTTTTCCCCTGAATAAGATTTCCAATTAAAATGTCACCACCCCCACAGCGCCCCCCCCACCGCCACCCTCCCCCAGTTTAATGTGCAGGAATGTACCGTGCTCTGCTTTATTGTATTTTTAACTTCTGCAAAATGCAACAACAACATTGACGTAGTTGTTGTTGTTGCTGCTGCTGTAGAATTCTGGTTGTGCATTACGGTCCAACCACAACCAAAAATATCCCGTATTGTCTGTAACAGACTGTTTGGGGCACGTGCTGTTAGCGAGCACCTATGAAGGCCGGCAGGGCACACGAGGGGGTGGCGATGTTTACACACCGCACTAGGTACTCATTTGAGGCTGAGTCGACCTAGGGGATTGCCAAGGACCGGTTCAGATAATCGCCACTGATTTTGGCCGTGAGCGGGTCGCCGGGTTTGTAGCGCACGCAACGCGCTAACCGCTACACCACCGCTCCCCAGGTCCAACCACCACCACCACCACAACCACCAGCACAACCACCAGCACAACCACCAGCACACATGAGCTGTGTTTGCCTTGGCGCTGCCGAGAGGGACATGTGTTCCTGGGTTCCGTAGCCCGAGGAGCGCCAGGCGCGTCTGCAAAATATAAAATCGGAGATAAATCAGAAACACTTGTTCCGCAAACTCTGCTGGAGCGACGTGAGTTTTCTCAACTCTCTCCGCATAGCGTCCAGGTTATCGTTGTTATTATTATTATCAACGCTCCGACTGCCAGTACCGGTTATCATTGAAATGTTATCTTTTTCTTTGCCACTTTCTATTGTTGTAGGGGTGAGAAAACGTGTGTTAGCGTGCGTGTTTTATACAAGAGACATTACGGGGGAGGCGTGGTGCAGCGGTTAGCGCGCTGCGTGTGCTACGAACCCGGCTAGACCCGTGTTCGATTCCCGCTCGCGGCCCAACCTCAGTGATGATTATCTGAAGCAGTCCCGGGCCTCTCCTAGGTCGACTCAGCCAAGTGCGATGTGTACAAAGAGTTGCCACTAGGAAGACAAAGGTGGCGGCCGTGGTGGTGCTGGCCAACCACTCTCTCGTCATCCGTTCTGGCCTTCATAGGTGTCCGCTAACTGCACTTGCCCCAACAGTTACAAGCTATACGGGGCGTCTTTGACTTTGTCTTCAAATGAGATGTTACGGGGGAGCGGTGGCGCAGCCGTTAGCGCGCTGCGTGCGCTGCGAACCCGGCGAGAGCCGTGTTCAAGTGCCGCTCACGGCCACAATTATATTAGCCGGTTCTGGGTCTGCTCTAGGTCGACTCAGCCTCAAGTGTGTACCTGGTGAGGTGTATAAACATCAGCGCTGGGGAGACAAAGGCGACTAGGCGTGGCGATTTCTGGCTTGGGACCCACCACCTCGTGTGTCGTACCGGTCATCACAGGTGCTGCTAATCACTAACAGCACTTGCCCCAACAGTCTGTTGAGGCTATACTAGGGGGGGGTCCATGGTTGCTTGGTGTTAACTACCTCGCCTGGTATGCAGGAGGTACTGAGTTCGATCCCGACCCTGACGATGCCTGTAAAATTGAATTTGCGTGTTCTCCCCATGACCACGTTGGTTTTCCTCTGCGTAAATCCAGTTTTTCCTTCCGTGTTTACAGACATGCGTTTCGAGTATTTGACTTCTATGAATTTGCCACGCGATGAGTCAGCTCGTTATCATTTCTTGTCCTCCGATGGGCACGGTCGGCTACGTACGGTGCGAAATAAGTTCAACATGCATCGCTACATGTGTCTTTCTGTGGCAAAACGTCTAATAAGACTCCCTACCAAATTAACATTGTAAGCTAGGCAGGATTAAACGGCACGTGGACAGAGTGACAGTGCGCTTAGACCACGACCCTCCCGGACACGTGATCGGCGCTGGACGTCACCAGACACGGCGTGGCCTGGTGTCCGATCTTGGAATATTGCGGTGTTGCACGTGGTGGTGTGCGCACGCTGTCTGAGGAGTGCACGTGCTGAGGTGTGCACGTGGTGGTGTGCGCACGCTGATTGAGGTGTACACGCGCTGAGGTGTGCACGTGGTGGTGTGCACGCGCTGTCTGAGGAGTGCACGTGCTGAGGTGTGCACGTGGTGGCGTGCAACGCGGTGGAGTGCACACAAAAATCCCCCCGATCCTTTTGGAAGTCATCATGGGCCGGCCAACGCAGTGCTTTCTCTGTGTCGCACAAGAGCATTGGGGAGGGAAATGCGCGTCAAACTAACGTGTAGCCACCAGACTGGTGGTGTAACATTTGTCTATCGGCGCGTGGGTGTTCGCGTGCGCGCGCGCAGGCCAATCTGCCGCTCCTCCAGCGCGAGCTGCTGCAATGCGCGCGAACCGCCAAGCTGTCCCCGGCTCAATACCTGGCGCAGAACCAGTTCCTGCTACTTGACGTGGGCATCCCTCCTGCTCCTCCTGCTGCGCCGCTAGCGCCCGGCGCGGGAACCTCGTCCCACGGTGGCGGCACGATGGCGGGATCTCACAACCACCACCACCAGCACCACCACCAGCACCACCAGCAGCACCACCACCAGAACCACCACCAGCACCACCCACCGCACCACGGGACCGCAACGACGCCGCACCACCACCACCACCAGCAGCAGCAGCAGCAGCACCACCAGCAACAGCATCAGCAGCAGTCACCGTCGCCCTTCGACTCTGCCGAGCCTCTACTGGAGGTCAACGAGAATGGGAAGAGGATTCTGAGTGACAGGTGAGTGTGGGAGGACGAGCCACAGATGTGAGGGCTGGGGGGGGCAGGTGAGGATTGGGGGGACAGGTGAGGGTGGGAGGGTTGGGGTGAGTCATCCAGACGATGATTCGGCTGGTGGCATCTTCTGTCCTCTGGGCGGTCATGCATCGTCGGATTTATACATGAGTATAGTCCTCTATACTAATGCATAGAGGACTACGTATAGAGGACTGCAGAGCTTGGGCAATTGTTGGTAGCACCGGCTCCTCATTGCGTGGCTGCTGCTGCTGCCATCCCCGATTGTCTGTGGTTCCTCTTCACACCTTTGTGTCTTCCTCTCTCAAAATGCATTGGTTGATAACACCTGAATGTATCGTGGACTGCAGAACTCGGGCAATTGTTAGTAACTCCAAAACGCATGTCGATCCTCAATATGGAGGGGAAAAACCGGAGGACACGGAGATAAAATCCGCGGGACCACGGGGACAGAGACACACAAACCCCAAATATACAGGCATCAGGATCGAGATCGAACCCAGGACCTCCCGCATACCAGGCGAGGGAGTTAACATCTCGCTACCCCGGTGCCTCAGGCACGCCGTTACACCATCCACCGTGCAGGCGAGGAGCAATTCGCTCGCACCGTCGTCGCTGCCCGCCTGCGCCCAACTAACGCCGCTGCCCCTTCCCCATTGCCGCCCTCCACCACAGGGTCAGCCGGGAAAATGGGCTGGGCCACGATGCGCCGAGCAGCAAGCGCCTGTGCCCTCCGCTCGCTCCCCCACCGCCGTCCATCGGCGGCGGCGGCAACGGGCCGCCTCTCAACGGCTCGTCCGCTTCCTCCCACAATGCCCTGGCCGCTCTGGCCTCTCCCCTGGCGCTGGCTCCTCCAGTTAGCCCCGAGTGGCGGCGGCGGCGGCGGCGCAGGGGTCGCGGGGTCGACGGCGCAGCGCCCGGCGTCGAGCGGAGGGGTCCACGGCCAGTCGGCGGTGGTGGGGCTGTCTCAGCCGGCGACGTTGTATTCGCTGGGCGGCGGCGGCGGTGGCGGCGGGCACCACAGGCGGGCGGAGGAGATGGCGCACGGAGGGAGGGCGGCACACAACATCCCGCACGGAGGGGCGGCCATGGCGGCCTCGCCGTCCGGGCTCTACCGGGACGCGGCGTGCGAGATGCGGGAGCACCGGGAACGGCACCACTCGCTCGGTGAGGACTTCTAAACGATAAAACTAACATTTTTCCAGGCAAGGCCCACTGAGCTTGACAGATATTTTTCAGAAGCGACCTGGTTGTCACGAACATTAGCTTAACGAAGTGGCTTATCATAACGATGTTGATTCCAAATGTGGAGGGAAAAATCGGAGACCCGGAGAAAAATCCTTGCGACCTCGGGGAGAGAGAGAACATGCACATGAAAGCTCCAAATATACAGCAGCAGGTTCCGGATTGAACCCACGACCTCCTGTATACCAGGCAAGGTAATTAACATCTCTTAGCCACCGTGATGATGATGAGAGAGACACGCAAACTCCAAACATACAGCAGCAGGTTCCGGATTGAACCCACGACCTCCTGTATACCAGGCAAGGTAGTTCACATCTCCTAGCCACCGTGATGATGATGAGAGAGACACGCAAACTCCAAATATACAGCAGCAGGTTCCGGATTGAACCCACGACCTCCTGTATACCAGGCAAGGTAGTTAACATCTCTTAGCCACCGTGATGATGATGAGAGAGATACGCAAACTCCAAACATACAGCAGCAGGTTCCGGATTGAAGCCACGACCTCCTGTATACCAGGCAAGGTAGTTCACATCTCCTAGCCACCGTGATGATGATGAGAGAGACACGCAAACTCCAAATATACAAGCATCAGGTTCCGGATTGAACCCACGACCTCCTGTATACCAGGCAAGGTAGTTCACATCTCCTAGCCACCGTGATGATGATGAGAGAGACACCCAAACTCCAAATATACAGCAGCAGGTTCCGGATTGAACCCACGACCTCCTGTATACCAGGCAAGGTAGTTCACATCTCCTAGCCACCGTGATGATGATGAGAGAGACACGCAAACTCCAAATATACAGCAGCAGGTTCCGGATTGAACCCACGACCTTCTGTATACCAGGCAAGGTAGTTAACATCTCCTAGCCACCGTGATGATGATGAGAGAGACACGCAAACTCCAAATATACAGCAGCAGGTTCCGGATTGAACCCACGGCCTCCTGTATACCAGGCAAGGTAGTTCACATCTCCTAGCCACCGTGATGATGATGAGAGAGACACGCAAACTCCAAATATACAGCAGCATGTTCCGGATTGAACCCACGACCTCCTGTATACCAGGCAAGGTGGTTAACATCTCCTAGCAACCGTTGCAGCCCGACAGTAGCTCCCGCGTTGGTTGGTGACAGCGTTGCCGCCGCCGCTGCCGTATTCTCTGGATTACAGATGCTCCGGGGAAGTAAGACACCGACAAAGCCCCAAGCGAGCTTTGGCGGGGTTCGTTTTGAGAAAAGGAAAGAGTGTCTTGTAATCGGGAGATCATGGTACTGGTGACGCAGAGCCAACCTCCGCATGGTTACATCGTTACTTGCTATCCCTGTGGACATCGGTGATAAAGTGCTTAATAGCTCATCGAATTCGGCCTCCTCCGGCAGTCTCAATAAAGATTCTGATCATGGTTGTGAACGCGCTGCTTTTACAATGGGGAGAGACGTCTTCTGGGAGATGGTTCCGAACAATGATCACTAAACACATATTCTGAAAGGTATTTGCTACGGAGATATGTCTACCGAGGGATGAACGGGCTATGCTGGTCTACATCAGCAGCTTCCTGATATTAATGATAACGTTAAACTCTGAAGCCGTGTAACTGCCTTTCCCCGCACCTCCAAATCGCACGGTTGGCTGCATATGGTGCGAAAGAAGTTCAATATACATACATACGAAACTAAACGCTCTCTAAAGTCTCTGCCATAAAAAAATGGCGTCTCAACTTGCCGCCTCGCGAGTAGCAAATACAGATGATCGGGGTCAAAGGTTAATGAGGGCAGCCATGACCCCATTCCCATTTCCTCCTCCATCTCTCTCTCCGCCAGCCCTGCCCGTGTCACGTCCCGAAGAGGTGATCGACCACCGCTTGACGGAGCGTGAGTGGGCCGAGGAGTGGAAACACCTCGACCACGTAAGCATGGAGGGTGGGTGGGTGAGTGCGGGTGGATGGGTATGGGTGGTGGAGTGCATTATGGGTGGGTGGTTATTAGTGGGTGAGTAGATGGGTATGGGCGAGTGGGTGGGTATTGGTGGATGGGTACTGATGCGTGGATGAGCATGGGTGGGTATGGGTCGGTGGATGGGTATGGGTGGGTATGGGTCGGTGGATGGGTTTGGGTGGGTATGGGCGGGTGGATGGGTATGGGTCGTTGAGTGCATTATGGGTGGGTATTAGTGGGTGAGTAGATGTGTATGGGCGAGTGGGTGGGTATTGGTGGGTGGGTACTGATGCGTGGATGAGCATGGGTGGGTATGGGTCGGTGGATGGGTATAGGTGGGTATGGGTTGGTGGATGGACATGGGTGGATATGGGCGGGTGGATGGGTAAGGTGTATGGGTGGGTATGGATGGGTGGATGGGTATGGGTGGGTATGGGCGGGTGGATGGGTAAGGGGTATGGGTGGGTATGGATGGGTGAGTGGGTATGTGCAAGTCGCAGTTGGAGACCCACACACCCCGCTACACCTTCAGCAGCCGTGGCTCAACACTACCTCCTTGTTTCCACGATACTTGGAACACGCGTACCGCTCCCGCGTTAACGACTCCCTCCGTCCCACCCACCGTCCCGCCCACAGCTACTCTCCTGCATCCTCGAGATGGTGGAGAAGACGCGGCGCGCCATCTCCGTCCTCCGCCGCTGCCAGGAGACCGACCGGCAGGAGCTGGCACGCTGGGTACGCCGCTGCTGCTCCGAGGAGGCCGCCGACCCTCCCGGCGCCGGCGCCAGTGCCGGCCCCGTCGGCAAGAAGAACGGCCTGGGCCATGTCGCGGTCGGAGGCTCCGGCTCCACGCTCGGCTCCGGGTCCGTGTCCGGGATTTCCAAGCAGCAGCAGCAGCAGCTGGCGCCGGTGGTGGCAGCCGTCTCGTCGGGCGGGCTGGCGTCGACCGCGTCGCTGCTTCTGCTGGGTGAGTCGGAAGCGACCGGTGCCGAGGAAGCGGATCTCGTAGAACTGCTTCAGAGAGGCTCTTGGGAAATAAGACTGGCGGAGGAGGCTTGCCTTTCTATCGCGCGCAGAACGGAATAAACATCTCAACCTCGGTGACCACCACCCCCCCCCCCCGCCCCCACAATGGCAGCAGACCCTGTTCGGCACAAGTTGAACACGGCACCAGGGTGGTAGCACGTCTAGCCGCTGGTTGCCGCGGTTTAGTTCCTCGCAGGTTAATGCCGTGGGTTTGTGAATGATGAACACTAAACAGGGTGCCGTCCGCTGCACCACAGTGGACGGTAAAGATCCCGTGACATAATTTGGCAAAGGAGCGGGCCGTCACGGACCACAAGCGTCAGGGTCAAAAATATCATTTTTTTATATAACACCGTAAATTACTCAACTGGTAGATCACACAGCAGCGTCGCCCCCGTTACTGTGAAACTAGACCAGCCGCGTGTCCAGAGTGTACGACAGCTTTGATTTGATTTTAAGGTATCATCTCATCGCTTCGTTTCAGACACGCACCAGGAATTCTTGTCGAGGCCAGGAACGCGCTACATGCCCGAAGATATCTGGAGAAAAGCAGGTGAGGACATTTGTGGGCTAATCTGACAGCGAATAAACAAGAGCTTGTGGATTTCCTACGTAGGCTCTCAATGGGCATATGAAAACCAGACGATACAAAAGATTCCTGGCTCCCATCTGCCACCATGAAACTTCTGGGCGGGCTACAAACCCTACACTACATCATCCACTGCACACAAAGCATTGCAGCAGATGAAACAGATAACTTGATGACAATGATGATGATGATGCTGCTGCTGATGCAAAAATGCTAAATTACGAACTCTCCAGGCAGTGTGCGGCGATTGTGATCACCACCCAGAGCAGAACCACGGAACGAACTACAGAGACTCAATGCCTCGATTCGCAAATACGAAGGAGGGATCATCGCAGTGATGATTCACAGATACGTAGGAGGGATCATCACGGCGATGATTCACAGATACGAAGGAGGAATCATCACGGCGATGATACAGCACTCCGCCGCTACTCCTGATGTAATTGCCTGGCTCGTTAACCACCTCGGTGTCGAATCACAGCTATGGCCCGATATCAACATCAGCCACGCGAAGAACAGCGATGACAACAACGGCGACAGCGACGGTGATGACAACGATGACGATGTAAACAACGATGACAGTGACGACGACGGCGATAACGACGACGACGAAGATGACAACGGCGATGGCTGCGACGATGACGACGACGACGATTATCTCTCCCCGCGCGCGCCGGGCAGAGGAGGCGGTGAACGAGGTGAAACGGCGGGCCATGTCGGAGCTGCAGAAGGCCGTGTCGGACGCGGAGAGGCAGGCGCGCAGCACCATCGAGGGGGAGCGCGCACGCATGGAGCGGGCGCTCGCAGACGCCAAGCGGCAGGCGGCCAGTGACGCCATCGCCATCGTGGCGCGGCAGGACGACTCCAGCGAGGTGAGGAGGTGGACCAGGAGGAGAGGGGAGGACAGAGGTCGCAAACGGGTTTTGATTCCTTACCCTACCCGTACCCAGCCGGGTACGGGTAGGGTACGGGTATCGGGTACCTGATTGCGACCTCTGGGATGAAGCCATGTTGCAGGCGCGGGTGGGTTGATTCTAGGAACTTGAATTGTGAGAAGAGACAAGACGTTGGGAAATGAGTGACAAACAGTTACTCACCAGTGACTCACGGTCTACCCGTACCCGGCCGCACCAGGGTCGCAAACGGCTACCCGTACCCGGCCGGGTACGGGTAGCCGGGTATCGGGTAGGGTACGGGTATCGGGTACCCGGTTGCGACCTCTGGGGGAGGATGAGGTGGACGAGGGGTGGGGGAGGGGGGTGGTTAGGATGGAGGAGTTGGGGAGGAGGATGAGGGATGGGGGAGTTGGGGAGGGTGAAGTGGAGGGGGGGGAGGAGAAGGAGGATGAGGGGGTGGTGATGAGGAGTGAGGATGAGGAGGTGGACGTGGAGGAGAGGGGAGGATGAGATGGAGGGTAATGGAGGAGCACGCACGCATGGAGTGCTCGCAGATGTGTACTCAGGGCGCGTGTACTCGGGCTCATACTCAGGCTCGTGTACTCAGGGCGCGTGTCTCCTCGCCCGCAGAGCTGCTGGAACTGCGGCCGCAAGGCGAGCGAGACGTGCTCGGGTTGCAACACGGCACGCTACTGCGGCGCCTTCTGTCAACACAAGGACTGGGAGCGCCATCACCACGTTTGCGGGCAGCGGCAGCAGCAGCAGCAACCACAAAAGGAACAACATCGTCATCATCAGCGTCATCATCAGCAGCAACAACAACAGCCCAAGGTTGAACCATCTCCACAACCCTCAGCTGACCTCATCGTTCAAACGGCCGGATCGGTCAAAGGAGGTGGAGGAGGAGGAGGCGGTAGCAGCAGCAGCGGCGGCGGCGGAGGTAGGGTTGGTGGTTCACCGGATGATGGGGTTATCGCCGCCGCTGTCTCTGCCCCGCCGCCACCGCCACGACCCGACTCGCCGATCGTGGTGGAGAGCGCAGCGGCGGCGTCTCGCTGAGTTGTGGGCTCCTTGGCCCCGTTCGCCCGCACGACGGCGGCGGCGGAGAACGATGTCTGGCCCGCCCGCTGGGCCTACCGGGAAATGAACTCGTTACGTTATAAACAAACAAACAAACAGAAACCGCGTGCAGCAGGGTTGTTTTTGGTTTTTGTAAGGGCTTCAGCTTTTTCTTTTTTACACACTTCCGTTGATTTGTTGAGGAGTAGAGAGATGTTTCGTTGTTGTTGCTATTGTTGTTGTGGAATCTTGTTGCATTCTAGGAAAGGCTCAGGCGGCTGTGGACAAGGCCTCGGCCTAGATTTTGCATTTCCATGACAACGAAAAATCCCCCTTCCCGACACTCTCCGCACAGGTGGAGGGCGAGGTGGGGGCAAGGTGGGTGGGGGGGATGCAGGGAGTGGGTGGGGGGGTGCAAGAAAGTGGGGGGCTCATTCGCCAGACGCGGTCTCCTCAACAATAGGCTGCTCTCGGTGAAGGGGGCGGGGGCATCCCCAAACACTCGGAATAATAAAATTTATTACGAGCGAGAAGAGGCTTTGAAGAAGGCACAACAACGAACAAACAACAACAATGCTCGCAAGCAAACGACGCTCTACCTGATGATGTTGCCACCCTGACGACGGTGACCTCCATTGGCAATGTCACGGACATCGCCGCCTCTGTCAGACTTTGACGAGGAAGAGAATCGTGAAAGAGACGGCACCCGATTCGTAAACTAACCTCTTTTGTGGTGCGGGGGGGGGGCATTGGCTTTTGTTTTTAAGAAGAAGGCGTTCAACTCTGCGACGTCGCAACCAGTAAAAATACAGAGCCGAACCAGCCCTCCACCCCTCGCCCCCCAAACTCAACATTTTGTACTAATCGCGCTTGAAAAACGAGTGGTTGTGGTGCGTGCCAATGGATTGATTTCGTTTTGTGCTGTTACATTTTGGGAGGAGGTGGGGGAGGGATGGGGAGGGGGGGTTGGTGGGTCAAGAAAGTCTAAAGAAAATGTAGCGGTCAAAAGACGCGTTGCTTGAGTTATAACTCGTGGCGTAACGACGCTCTCCTCCCCCGGAAATGTCCCAAAGTGAAATGTGAAAGCATCTCTCTTAACTGACCTCGTCCTGTGTCGTCCAGCCCTCAGCCACCCGACCGCCTGACCGTCGTGGTGGTCGAGCGATCTCGCCCCCCCCCCCCTTTGTCCCCCCCCATCCCCCCGTTCTGTCTTCTGCAAAGAGTGAGTTTACGTCAGAGGTCGCAAACGGGTTTTGATTCCTTACCCATACCCGGCCGCACCAGGGTCGCAAATGGGTACCCGGGTACGGGTACCCGTTCCCTACCCTACCCTACCCGAAATGAGTGACAAACGGTGACTCACCAGTGACTCACGGCCTACCCGTACCCGGCCGCACCAGGGTCGCAAACGGCTACCCGTACCCATACCCGGCCGGGTACGAGTAGCCGGGTATCGGGTAGGGTACGGGTATCGGGTAACCGGTTATGACCTCTGACTTTACGTCAAGTTTGGCCAAAGGCAAGAGACACACACAATCATGGCAATTTAGCAATCTCTCACCACCGCTACCTCCCCCCCCCCTCCCAACTATGAAATCTAAAACAAAAAACTATTTTATTTTACCAGTTAAAGCCTCCGCTGGGCTATGTCGCTGTTTTTCAGAATCGACCTGGCCATCACAAATGGTAGCTCAACAAAGTGGCTTCTCGTCACGAGGAAATTTCTAGCAGCCAAATACTCTGAGACTCGCGCCGGCGATTCTAACTGAACGTGGAGGGGGAAAAAAACGGAGGACCCGGATAAAAAATTCCACGCGGCCACGGGGAGAGAGAGAGAGAGACACCGCAAACTTCTAAATACACAGCAGCAAGGCGTCGGGGTCGGGATCGAACCCACGACCTCCTGCATACCAGGCGAGGTAGTTAACATCTCCTAGCCACCGTGATGATGATGAGAGAGAGACACGCAAACTCCAAATATCCAGCAGCAGGCGTCGGGGGTCGGGATCGAACCCACGACCTCCTGCACACCAGGCGAGGTAGTTAACATCTCCTAGCCACACCGCAGCGCCTCAACTGCTGCCTCCTCTGCCCTATGTCCGCCCAGTTGCATTTTATTGGTGAGAGCTGCAGTGTGTGTGTGCGCGACTTGCTGTGTGTGTGAACCCACAGCAAGTCGCTTGCCTTTATTTATTTGGGGTGGGGGGGGATTAAGCCCCAAAAATTACACTATGAGACCTCCTTTACCAGTAGGCAAAATATAGTAATAGGTTTTTACCCTTTCAACTGGTAGAAAAACTGACACCTTTATACAAAAAAAAAATAGTTTCGATCGGAACTCCGTAACCAAACTCCGCAGGGTAGTCCGGTCCAGAATTTGCGCGGAAACCTTTGCGATTCATAGGGCAGAGGGAGAAAGGGAAGTTCCTCCTCCCGACGTTCCCCAGGTCCTGTGGAAGACCCGGCCATGGAATTTTCCCACTCCAGAGGGATTATGTTTGGTCGGTGACTCCAAATCACAGCGTGACATTCATTTTGTTGCGTTGGGGGTGTCTGTCAATACTTTTAGTGACGCTGGTTTTATGCACAAGTGAAACCAAATTGTACGCGTGAAATCGCGTCGTTATATCAAAAAAAAAGCCGCACCGGGTGGGATCTCTGTCGCCAAAGCCACACGCTCGTTTCCCGTGCTCAGTTTTAGTCCTCTCAAGCATCGTGCGCGTTCCAAAGTTGGTCGGGTAAAGCTTTTTCTTTTTTAAGTTATTGTTATCACTGCATAATAATAATAATAATGATGATTGCGATGATTATTTTTGTTTTGGAGCTTTCGAACAATGCAGCTGATTTCATTGTCAGAGTGCGTAATGGTCGGGGTTGGATTTTCCGGAAATGATGATGATTATGGTGGCAATGGTGGCGATGCGCGGCATATGATGATGATGATGACGATGGTTATGATCATTTGCATGAGAGTGACGTTCGTGGCGGCGGTGATGATGACGATGGTGGCGACGACGACGATGATGAGATTACGATTGTGATGTCACGACGATGATGATGGCGGTGTTGGTGGCGGCACACGTATACCTGCAAAACCTCATCGGGGGGGTGGTGGGTGGGTGGAGGGGGGGAGAAATCACCACCAATGAATCGGCACCTTTCATGAAAAAGGTGACAGCCAAAAAAATACGTTACTTCAAACAAACGAAGCCAATGTAAAATCCATGTTTCTGTATTCAAAGACGCACGTTCGTTTCGTGGAAATGTGTAGACCCGGTGAATTTCATGGAACGCAAGTGAAGACGCGCACAGAACCGTGTACTCGTCAAGCGGCTCACTGACCCTGCAGGACTGATCGAAAGCTGGGTTGGATGTTCAAAGCGCCCCCACCCCAACTCCTCACAGTTCTGCGCTTATGTTTAATTCACAGTGACGCAGACCGCGGACAACATTTGCTCTTCATCCTTGCGATTTTGTTGTTGTTGTTGTTTTTCATCCTGCGTTCTGTCCTCCATCGCCTACCATTCTACGTGATTATGATTTTTGTTCATTGTGGGTTTCATTTAAATCCAGACATTTGTTGTTGTTAGTTGTTGATTATTTGCGATGCGTTTAAATTTCTTATTTAAAGGCAGGTGTGGGCCGGTGATGGCCTACCAGCCACTGCCTGCCTGCGTTTATCCCTAACACGTTCTCTGTGCACTTGATTACCTTTTGACGGCGGTCACGTCTGTTATTTATGCGTCTGAAAGAATTAAGGCCGGTATTTCTTTTGACCTCTCAACTTTTGTTGTTGTTGTTGTTGTCATCCGTGTCTTCTTGGTTTTTTTTATTATAATTTTTACCACCCATGCTTTTTTTCTCGTTTTGACTTTTTATTTTCGTGCGAATTCATCGATCTGAGGACAACAGGAATTCTATTTTTTTGCGCAAACGCGTTTTGCTCGAGCGGTGTATTGGTAAAAGCAAATTCTTCTTTGGCTTAACGAGAGAACGCAGAACTCTCCCGTACCGCGTGTGGCTGGGCAACAAAGCCCAAGACAAAAGAGTAACAACTGAAGCCGTGATGTAATCGCGTTTTGTTGCGAACTACTTGGTCAAAAACAAGCGGGAGATGCAGCTATTCACCTTGAAGCCAAGCTGCACCGCCGCGCTGAAACAAAGTGTTCGGCAAAACGTCCAAAAAAAACGAAGCCCACGGATTGATGGAAAGACGGACGGACACATCCGAAGAGATACCAAACATCAACCATGACTGGCTTGGACATGCAGATTCCGGTGCCCCCCCCCCCTTCCCCACCCCCCACCCCCCCAAATCGACGAACCAAATATCAGAGATGACAGCACAGGTCAAGGGTAATTATGAAGCCACGCAAAAGAACCTCAGGCGTGGCGGTGAAGAGCACAGTCGTCGTGGAGACAGTGCTGGTGATGCTGGTCCAATGAGGACCCTAAGTCGAAGTTATTAATACGTCCCATTCGCGCCGACCACCACCCCGCTTTAAATGTATAAACGCGGGCGTGAGATAACAGAGGAGATGTGCATTAGAGAGATGCGGGAAAGAGAGGGACGGGAGTAAAGGTCGAACCGCATGATGGGTTAATTCTACTCGTGGCCGTCGATTAGGATTGAAAGACGAGCTGATGTTGGTCTCGCCCATTCGGCGTAAATCTGGGGCCCTCTGAGCCGCTCGGGGCTCTAAACATCGGCTTGGTTCTGCTTGTGTCCAGTGACCCTTGGTGACCCTTGCCCGGGAGCTATGGCCGAGAGGTCACGTAAAGCAGATCTTTCGGCCGGTGAGTGCGGTTTCGAAGATGGTGCTGCGAGGTCGTTCGATACCGAAATTACCTTGATTTCTCGGCTCGCGGTTACAAACTCGCGGGCAGCAACACTGAACATTTCTAACCTTTCACTTAAGCTTTAATTTTATGTTTCCCCTCTGTTGCCAGCATCGGCGCGGCCACGCATAAGTAGTAGATCTGCCCGGAGGCGGTCGTGGGAGCAATTCACGTGCGTCGCTTTTGCTTGACCCGCGAAAGCAAATCGAGCGTCCAAATCGGAGCGCGAAATGTGGTCCCTCCCTGGTGGCTTTGGGCGACAAACCAACCTGGTTCAAGGGGTCCCACACCAGCCCCCTCCTTGTTGTAATAAACTGAGCCATTCCTCAACACCTCGGCAGTTTTTTTTTAAATGTTCCGGATTAATCCGTGAAATCCCAATTGAGGACGTTCCCAAAACGTGACGTCAACAGCAAGTAATGCCATTCCTCGCGTAATTTCCTGGCTTTTTCTTGCCATGGGCGATCTCACCGGGCGCGATGTCACTGTTGCTTATACTAACACAA